TACCCCAGTAGGTATGTGGGGAGTATGGATGCTGATTTCCCTTCAGGTCTGGAGTAGCCTACAGCGTGGTAGGTTGTGGAGGCTTGGTGACCACAGGAGGTAACTGGGTTTCTACGAGGCATTAGGAGGCCTGTGTCCCAGAGCACAATGGGAACTGGAAGTCAGGAGCAGTTTTTATTTCTCCGTGATTCACTAGGGACACGACCCCAAGACAGAAGCAGAGAAGCCACAGGGAGGGCAGCAGTGGGGCTGAGCATCAAGTGGAAACAGGTGGAAGGCTAGGTGGGAATCTGGACTCCTTCATCCATCCCCAGCATTTACTGAGTGTTCACTGAGTTCTGACTAGGACAGGAGTCCTGCTCATAGCACTTGATGAGCCAGCGGACCTTGCCCTGGCTCTGGGTGTCACCGTTCCCTGGGGTAGGTATTGTCTCTGGACTCCCCTCTTATCCCAAGTGTTAGGAAAGGGGACCCAGGGAGGAGGGGACGAGCATCTTGCCCCCCCTCCCCGCAGGTGATGTTCTGCACCCTCAACACCCATAAAGTGGATATGGACAAGCTCCTGGGAGGCCAGATCGGGCTGGAGGACTTCATCTTTGCCCACGTTAAGGGGCAGCGCAAAGAAGTGGAAGTATTCAAGTCTGAGGAGGCACTGGGGCTCACCATCACTGACAACGGGGCCGGCTATGCCTTCATTAAGGTGCCCGGGTGGGTGGCACACCCTTAGTCAGTGGTCAGAGTCTGTAATGGGACCTCAGTGGAGCTTCCAGAGCTGACACGTGCCCCTTCACAGCGCATCAAGGAAGGCAGTGTGATTGACCACATCCAGCTCATCAGCGTAGGTGACATGATTGAAGCCATCAATGGGCAGAGCCTGCTGGGCTGTCGGCACTATGAAGTTGCCAGGCTCCTCAAGGAACTTCCCCGAGGCCGCACCTTCACCCTCAAACTCACAGAGCCTCGAAAAGCCTTTGGTGAGCAAACCTTGGACCACCCACTGGGATGACCTTGAACACGTCAAAAAAATATGGCTTGCAGTACTGGGAACCACCAGCAGGTGGCACCCAAGCTGCAATGCAAAGTGGAGCCTGCCCCACCCTACCCTAGAACTGGGTGCTGGCTGGCAGCCCAGCCTGAAGGAAGTTGCCCCCAACCCTGGCCGGCCCCTCAGCCTGGAGAAGTGAGGCTTGGCTGCCCTGCACAACTCCCATGCCCTGCTGCTGTTTCTACCTGGCTTCACTAACTCTCAGGAATGGGCCTGAGGCGCCCCTGGTATGGGTAGATAGGACTGATCTGGGACCCAGTAGTTATACCTACCCCTCCCCAGCTCTCACCCCTTCAAATAGAAGTAGAGGCTGTCCTGGATTCTCTTCTAGCTTCTTTTATGCTCGACCCCCGCTGCCCCTCTCCATTCATGCCGAGTCCTGTCCCCTGGAATCCAGCCCCTATCCCGAGGATCGTGAGAGGTGTCTGTAAGCTCAGCTGCCTGAGCACTGTACTGACTGTGTGCTGAAATTCCCATAGATATGATCAGCCAGCGTTCAGCGGGTGGCCACCCTGGCTCGGGCCCTCAACTGGGCACTGGCCGAGGGACCCTCAGACTCCGATCCCGGGGTCCTGCCACAGTGGAGGATCTGGTGAGTGAGCCACCTTGGGCCAGTGACAGCATTCTCATTACCTGAGGGACTCTGGACACCTCTGCTTAAATCTGCCTCCTCCCAACCAAGGGCCTTCCTTGGGCATGGGCAAGTGAGACTTGGTTTTCCTACTGGAAAATAGAGGAGTCCTAGTAACTTCCTGTCAGAGTTGACCTTAGTGATGCAGACAGAAACCACATCTAGGCATGTCTCAGGCAGGAGGATTTCACACTCAAGGGTAACGCAAACCACAAGAGCTTGTCACCAGAAAAGAGATATGTGAGAGCCAGCCCAGTGTGGACAGGGACCTGTAATCCTAGATACCTGGGAAGCTGAGATCTGAGGGTTTAGGGTTCAAAACCAGTTTGGGCAATTAGAATTTGTCTCAAAATAAGAACAATAATATCTGAATGTTGGGGCTGGAAAGAGGCTCAACAGTTTAGAGTACGTGCTGTACTTGAAGAGGACCCAGGTTCAGTTCAAGCACCCATATTGGGTGGCTCACAACCACCCCTAACTCCAGCTCCAGGGCATTCCGCTCAGCGTCCTCGTCTGACCTCCTCAGGCTCACACTCCTATACATAAATAAATGTAAAAAGTAGCTGGGGGTGCAGTCCATTGGCAGAGCTGTTGCCTAGCGTGTGAGGTCTGGGTCCTGTCCCCAGCACCGTAGACATTCACTGTAACAGCTGTCTGTTGACACCGCCGTGCTGTCTGCTCCCCTCCACAGCCGTCGGCCTTCGAGGAGAAAGCCATTGAGAAGGTGGATGACTTGCTAGAGAGCTACATGGGGATCAGAGACACAGAACTGGGTGAGTGGGGGCACCCATGCCTGGAAGGTGGGAGCAGGCTTCCAGGTCTCATCCAGGCTGAGTTGAACCTGCACCCTTCTGTTCCTCACGCCATCTGTGTCCGTCTTTCTCCTCCCTGACAGCTGCCACCATGGTGGAGCTGGGAAAGGACAAGAGGAACCCAGATGAACTGGCAGAGGCTCTGGACGAACGGCTTGGTGACTTCGCATTCCCCGACGAATTCGTCTTTGATGTCTGGGGGGCCATCGGGGATGCCAAGGTTGGCCGCTACTAAGACTGGAACTGAACCTGGACCTTGAGATACCCTGGGCTTGACCTCCAGAAGGGGCCCCACAGCCAAGGCCTGAGCATCCAGCTTGGGCACATAACCCAGCAGCCTGGGGATGGCATGGGATAGAAGTGGCCTGTGGTCCTGGCCGCACTCCAATCACCATGGTGCCCAGCCTGGTTGGGGTCCCCGGCCACCCCCTGGCGGGTTCCCCACCTACCTCAGCATAGTAAGCGTGTGGGCAGGGACGAGCACACTGGGCAACTAACCACTTCTGTCCCCAACACTTTCCACTGTCAGCTGGCAAACTGCCCCTTCCTGTCTCCTGGGCCTCAGTTCTGTTTTAGGTTTCCCTACTCTACTTTTTTGCTTTGTTTTTCAAGACAGAGTCTGATGATGTGGCTCTGGCTGTCCTGAAACTCACTCTGTAGACCAGGCTGACCTTGAACGCACAGAGATCTGCCTGCATCTGCCTCCTAGTGCTGGGATTAAAGGTGTGCACCACCATGCCTGACTCTCCCTACTTTCTTGACAACAGAATTGCAGAAATGGGGCACAACCCTCCTAGTAAAGGGAATATTACCACCCCCTTCGGCAGCTCCCTGAGAGGAGCCCCTAAGTTGGATTCTGTTTCCTCCCCTTTGAGTGCACACTGCTGTGAACCCTGGTTCCTCATCATCTCCTTAGACAGTGCCAGAGGGAGGCGTGAGCAAGGCAGTGGGCTCCTGTACCCACTTACTCTCTTGGATATAGACTCTCTCTGGGAACTGTTTGGCTTTGGAGTAGAAGGGGTGGCAGGGAAAGAATGCGGCAGCTGAAATCTATCTCCTGGATTCCAGATTGAATTTAAGTTGGCTGGCCCACAGCCCCTCCTCTGGCTGGAGGCCCTCAAGCTCCCAGGCAGTGGTAGGGATTCTGGCTTACTTGAGGTTCAGACCTGGTTCCCCACTCACCAAGGCCTCCCGTGCCCCTTATGAGGAGACTGCAGCTAACACCTGTGTGGAGGCAGCAAGGCCTGCTGCCCCCCTGCAGCACCCTGGGTGAGGCTGGTTGTATTTTGGACACAGGCATCCATGCCCAGTGCTTCACAGGGATATAAACCTGCCAAGCTTGTTTTGACAGTCCATTTCATCCTAGGATTTAGAAAGATCAAGGAAAGGGTGGGGTGGGACCCTGGCCAGACCTGGAGAGCAGAGAGAGAGAGTGAGGGAAGCCAGGCCAGAGGTCCCTCTCCAGCACCCAGGAGGAATGTTTGGGGGTGAGCCGTGGAGATGCTGCAAGAAGGCTGAGCAGGACTGGCTGCCTGACTTCAGGCAGGAGATGCGGACTCTGGATACCAGACATTGACATGCACAAGCCCTACAGACAGCCACTGTCAGGGTGACTTGCCATCCCTGACCACTGAGGTCATGGCCTCACACGTGCTAGGCTGTGCTCTGTCGCTCAGCTGTGCCTCTCAGGTCCTGCACTGGGGTCTTGTATGTCTCTGATGGGAGCTGCTGGGAATGTGGCTTTGCTGAGTGGATAAGGGCTGGGTCCTCTGAGTTTCAGGGAGCTGTGGGGTGTTGAGTGTGGTCATGTAGCTGTGTCCACTGTGTGCATAGGTCTCGGTGTGTCCTTGTTTGGGAATCGGTAAACAGGCCTTAAGCGTGTCTAGAGATGTGATTATGTGACTTAGGCGGGGCAAGGTCTGGGTGCCCATAGGCATTGGTTTGTGGGGTAATGTCTCCAGGAGGTGTGCCCTAGGACTGTAACAGACTTACAGTGCCAAGTGAGGTTTATACCCTGTGCTAAGGTGTGGGCAAACATCCGTCCCAAGGGGTCTGTATTTGGGGGGTACTAAGGGAGTGGATGTTAAAGTCGACAATGGTGGGAGCTCTCCAGTGTTTACTTGCCATCATGACTGATTGGACAGTGACTTCATGTTCCACTTCTTAAGACGTAAAGTGAGGCTGTAACTGTGGGTGCAGGATGTGGTTCAGGTGCCCTACGAATTGCTTACCCCACCCTAAAGCAGGATGCCGGTGCTAGCCTGACTCCTCTGAGCCATTTAGCCACCTCCCTTTCTCCAAGAATGACTCCCTGTTGCCCTGGTCTGGGCTGCTCACCTACATCCACCCTGTGACAACCTCAAAGGCTTAAGGGCAGACAGCATTGCTGGTTCCCACCACATAGCTAGTTCCCCAAACCTTAAACCCAATGGGGATAGCACCCCACCCCACCCCCATGAGAGTGTGTAGACCTCCCAGCCTGCCCTAGGCGATGCTCACATTTTCCAGTGTTTAGATTTTATCCACTTTATTAATGAGGCAGGCAAGAGGCCCGGGTGAGGGTGTGGGGGGTTGCTTCTGCCTCACTGGGAGGAGGGGGTCACAGAGACCAGACCAATTCAGAGAACCTCAGTCCTTGGCGGGAAGAAACTGAGCCCAAGTGATCCTGACCATTGCCAACAGCAGAGGTTTCGCCCACTCCCGGCTCCCAGCCCCAGCGGGCAGACATGCATGGGGTGGAGCAGCCCCTGGAGGCCAGTGGAGTGCGGGTGGAGGCGGCACAGAGCCGAGGAGCCGCCCCAGGAAGAGGGAGCGGCCTGCTGGGAGCCAGGGAGCAGCTGGCGCTGGCAGCAGGAGCCTAGTTCCGGGCCATGGGGATCCTGCATCCTGAGCAGCACTGGGTAAGAAGCCGGGACTTGAGGGCCGGTAAGCAGGGAAGAGGAGAGCGTCGGCCATCCTGGTCTCACTGCTCATGGCTCAGCCCAAGGCTGGCTGTCCATCCGTTATGTCTGCATGTCTGCTTTAGCCTTCTCAACTAGAGAGCGAAGAACAAGCCAGAGGCTGGTTCACAGTAGGAGTATGGGGTGGGCATCTGAATGGGGCAATGCCAGACTGCTGAGAGATTGCCATGGAGACAGAGGTGTGACTCTGGCAACAAAGACGGGACTCTAGAGAAAGGTGGGCCCAGGGAGTCCAAGAGCACCAAAGATGGGTCCATGGAAGCAGGGGTCTGTGGGAACAGGAACATGGAGGCAAGAGATGGGGCTACAGGGCATAGTGACCTTGGGGCACAGAAATGAGTCTTTAAGTATAGAGATGGCTTGTTCCGGGAGAGATGAAACTGGAGATCAAGAGTGCGTCTCTGGAGACAAGGACACGGCCACTGGAAGAGATAGGCTATAGTAGTGGAGCTGTTGGGATAGGGACGTCAAGGAAGAAAAGATGACCAACAGCTGGTCATGGTGGTGTGAGTCTTGAATCCCAGGACACAGGTCTCACAGGCAGGTGAATCTCTTTAAGGCCAGCCTAGTCTACACAGCCAGTTCCGGGGACAGCCAAGGAGACTTACTAAAAAGGAGAGGAGAGTGGGCAGACATGGTGAAGGCTGGAGTTGGGTCAGAAGTGGGTCGGGGTCTATTCCATGAGGCCATAAACCAGGAATCTGATGCACTAGAAGGTGGGGAGCCGGGAGATGAGGAAAGATACTAAGAATGTCTGACAGATCAGTCGAGTTCCCGAAGCAGTAGACCGATGTAGGGGCAGTGAGGACAGGCACAAGGCATGGGACAGTGATAGATAAAGAGGGATCTGAAATGGCGCAACCAGGGTCATGTGGAGGTTTCCTAGGCACAGAGCCCACATTGTTACATGGATCGTGGTGTGGTGGGACCCTAGCCTCACTGTGTCCTCCTTTTATCTACCTAGCCCTCTTGGCCACTGATATGAGCCCCTGTGGGCTTAACGTGAGCCTAGCGGACGAGGCAACAGCGTGTGCAACACCCAGGGTCCCCAACACATCTACGGTGCTGCCAGGCGATTCCGGCACATCACCGGCGCTGCCTATCTTCTCCATGACCCTGGGTGCAGTGTCCAACGTGCTGGCGCTGGCGCTGCTGGCACAAGCTGCAGGTCGTCTGCGGCGGCGCCGCTCAGCTGCCACTTTTCTGTTGTTCGTTGCTAGCCTGCTAGTCATTGACCTGGCAGGCCATGTGATCCCGGGAGCGCTGGTGCTTCGCCTGTACGCTGCAGGACGTTCGCCTGCTGGCGGGGCCTGTCATTTCTTGGGCGGCTGCATGGTCTTCTTCGGCCTATGCCCACTCTTGCTTGGCTGCGGCATGGCCGTGGAGCGCTGCGTGGGTGTCACGCAGCCACTGCTCCATGCGGCGCGCATGTCAGTGGCCCACGCACGTCTGGCACTAGTCGTGCTGGCTGCCATGGCTTTGGCAGTGGCGCTGCTGCCGCTAGCACACGTGGGTCACTACGAGCTACAGTACCCTGGCACCTGGTGTTTCATTAGTCTTGGACCTCGTGGAGGTTGGCGCCAGGCATTGCTTGCTGGCCTCTTCGCCGGCCTTGGCCTGGCAGCGCTCCTTGCGGCACTCGTGTGCAATACGCTCAGCGGCCTGGCGCTCCTGAGAGCCCGCTGGAAGCGTCGCAGCTCTCGACGTCTCCGTGAGACCACAGGCTCCGATGATCGCCGGCGCTCCGAAGATCGCCGGCACTGGGGGTCCCGTGGACCACACTTGGCCTCCACCTCGTCTGCCTCATCCATCGCTTCAGCCTCCGCCACTCTCCGTAGCTCCCGGGGCGGCGGCTCGGTGCGCAGGGTTCGCGCGCACGACGTGGAGATGGTGGGCCAGCTCGTGGGCATCATGGTGGTGTCGTGCATCTGCTGGAGCCCCCTGCTGGTGAGGGGCAGTTGCTCCTCCAACCATACTCCTTCCTTCCCCCTCCTGGCCTCTGCTCCCTTATCACCCTGCCTGCACAAAAAGCCTTACCCCTCTGCTGTCCCTCTGTCTTACCCCTCTGCTATCCCCGGCTCTACCTTCGCCCTCTTTGGATCTTAGTTCGACTCATTCAAGCTTCTTTGTTCGTCCCCCAGCTTCATTCATTTCTAGCCTTCTTCCTCCCCAGCTTTTTATTTTATTTTAGTTTTTCGAAACAAGGTTTCTCTGTAGCTTTGAAGCCTGTCCTGGAACTATCTCTTGTAGACCTGGCTGGCCTCAAACTCACAGAGATCCACCTGCCTCTACCTTCTAGTGCTGGGATTAAAGACGTGCACCACCAGCGCCTGGCCCTCCCCAGCTTTTTTACCTTTCTTTTGTCTTGTGTGCTAGCAAAGCGGGTCTTCTCTAGCTAGACTCCACGCTCACTGCCGATCTTTGCTCAGTCACTCTCCTTCCCACACAGTATTTGCCCTGCATAGCCTGCCCACCCCTTCTCTCACACGGTTCACGCCTGCTTTTCTCGCAGGTGTTGGTGATGTTGGCCATCGGGGGCTGGAACTCTAGCTCCCTGCAAAGGCCGCTGTTTCTGGCTGTGCGCCTCGCGTCGTGGAACCAGATCCTGGACCCGTGGGTGTACATCCTGCTGCGCCAGGCCGTGCTGCGTCAACTGCTTCGTCTCCTGCCCCTGAGGGCTGGTGCAAAGGATGGCCCAACAGAGCTGAGCCTAACCAAGGGTGCCTGGGAGGCCAGTTCACTGCGTAGCTCCCGGCACAGTGGCTTCAGTCATCTCTGACTATGCCCAGAAGCTAAGCCAAACCACTGGGCAGGGCTCAAGGGTGTAGAGAGCTTCAAACACTAACTTGGGCGATGTGTCCTGTGTGGCGGGAACACACACTGTGACCGCTCTTTAGTGAAAGAGGCTCCGCCCAGACGAGTACAATTCTAACGTTGGCCACGCGGTGGCGCAGACACATTAGGATGTTCCAAATATCAGAGGTGGGATCCTCAGGTCAGCAGCTCCAAAAGCATGAGCACTACACTAAATCCATAGTTCTGAGATCAGAGATCCCCTCAAATGCCGCGAGATTTTGGGTCCACTTCCTGTCTCTGCCACCGCCTTGCAACCAAGCATTCTCCTCATTTTGTTCTCTGTTCTAACCTTGTACCCACTACAGCCTTAAAACCCCAACGTTCTCCACCAACACAGCCCTGAGCACCGTCCCCATCCCCCCCACTAATGCATGTTCACAGCTTGACCGTTCAATTGAGCCCTAGCATAGTTCTGTCCCCCCCTGAGTCTGCCTGCCTCTATCACCTGCTCCAAGCACACCCCACCCCAGATTGCACACAGAGGCTGAAAATGCATGTATGGGGTAAACCCCAAAGACCTTTTTAAAACCAAGAACTCTTGGGTAAGGCAGGGGCTTGGGGCTAGTAGCCTCCTGCCACAAAGTCGAAATCCCGGAAGGCAGCCTGCTCCGCAGCTGTGAGGGGCCGCGCATCCCGGGGTGGGCTCAGCGTGGGCGTCTCCCCAGTGAACTCCTCATCGAAGTTGCTGACATCTGTGCGCCCCGAAAGTGTAGGCACGAAGGGTGGGGGCAGGCGACGAGCCAACAGGTCATCCCAGCCCAGCGTCTGTGGAGAGGAGGACAGAGAGTCACGATGGAGGATGCAGGGAAGTCTGGAGACCAACAGGAAGTAGACAAGGTGCAGAGGGACTAGAGCTCAGATCAATCAAGGGAGTCTGGGGTAGCTCAGGTTAGCCCTGTAATGCCATGGGCCTGGATTAGCAGTCGGAGTAAAGAGGGGGAATGAGGGGTGCAGACAAAAGGAGTTAACCTTTGAGAGGAATCATGGTGGCCTTGGGGGGCAATAAAACTCTTGAGATGGAGCAACTAGATTTGGGGTGAGAAACACGCAGGTCCTTGGGGTGACTGACAGAGTGAGGAAGGAGTCTGCTCACCCTGAAAAAAGGCTGTTTTTTCACATCTTCTGCGTCCCGCTCAGTGGCTCCCAGTCTCCGCTCTGGGTTCCTCCGCAGCAGCTATGAGACGAGGTGCATGTCAGTGTATCCGAGTCCTGTGCCTCAGAACCCTTTTCTGCCCACCTTGCTCTTTGTGGTAGAGGGTATGCTTACCCTTCTCATGATGCCAATGGCCTCTGCTGACAGGAAGCGGGGATAACGAACCTCATCGTTGACAATACTGTCAAAAACCTCCTCCTCATCGTCCCCAGGGAACGGAGACTGGAGGGCAGAGAGAGTCAGGTTGAGTAAGACCCCACTTTTAGACAGTCCAGCTCACCCAGTACTACCCAATGGCCCTACCCCTACCCCTGGGGGTGTCCCAGAGCTGGCTTACAGAGGGTAAGTATCTCGTTTTAGTTACAAAAACTGAGATCAGAGAGGCAAAGCTAACACATAGCAGGAGCGGATTCCCATCCCACACCGGGGCACATGCATGTTCTCTACAGAAAAAAAGGTAGCCTAGGCCTCACCTCCCCAACCAGCATCTCATAGAGCAACACGCCCAGTCCCCACCAGTCCACTGCTCGCGTGTAGGATGTGTCTGTCAGCACTTCGGGTGCCAGGAACTCTGGGGTTCCACAGAATGTGCTGGTCCGGTCTCCATAGCCCATCCCTGGGTGGGTGGAAAGCAAGGCCATGTGAGCCACCAGTGGCTGGGGGGGGGGGGGGGGTTTAGAGCATGAGACACTCCAAATAGCCAGCCCTACCCCTAGTCAGTACAGGGAGACCCGGGGAGGAGGGGCTAAAGCTGGCACACTACCCTGAAGCTCTTAGGGTGAGCATGTGCCTGCAAGCAAAGCCCATAGAGAAGAGAATGTCACCTGACCACCCCTAGTCCTCTCATCCCAGGATTGCAGCCCCTCACCCTCCTTGCAGAGGCCAAAGTCTGCGATCTTGACGTAGCCCTCAGTATCCAGGAGCAAATTGTCCAACTTCAGGTCCCTGGGGAATGGGGGTGTCAGGGGATGTAAAGAGGGGTGATTGGGAGTGGGGGCTTTGTACAGAGCTTGAGCATGTCCAGTCTACGGGCTGAATGTGCTCTCGTGTACACACCTGTAGACAATCTTGTGTTCATGGAGGAACTGCAGCCCCAGCACCACACAGGCGGAATAGAAGCTGCAGAGACGCACAAGTTCACACAAGCCTGGCTCCACCGGTGCCAAAGTCCCTAACCCCTGGGGTCCCAAAGCTCTGTGGGTGGCGGGGTGGGAGGCAGGGTGGAGGGTGGGAGGCGGGGAGGAGGGGCGGGGCCTCCAGTGATGGGCAGGAAAGAAGACTCACACGGCCCGCGGCTCGGAGAACACATCGCTGTGGATGTGCAGCATCAGGTCTCCGCCCGCTGAGTACTCCATCACAAAGCACACGTGCTCTGGGGTCTGGAAACAGCCGAAAAGGTTCACCAGGAAGGGATGTCCTGCCCTGGTCACGGCCGCCAAAATCCGCTTCTCACACATCAAGCTAGGCAGGAGGCAGAAGTCAGAGGGCCCAGCCGCTCCCTGACCTGCGCCCATGCCCTCTGGCGCTCACAACAGGTGTCTGTTGAGGACCTGCTTTACTGTGCAACTTTGGGCGTCGTGGCTGCTACACACCCACAATCTACACATTGTCTTGGGAAGCAGGTGAGGGCACAGGCTCAGGATGGTCAGAGCAGTCCAAGTGCGCACTGGGGACTGGATTAGGGGCAGCACCCGTGTGGACTAAAGCAGGTGGAGGAACCGGGTCCGAACTTGGGGTGGAAAAGCTTCAGTCTGTGCGAGGACCGCAAGCACAGCCCACAAAGGAGCACACAACCAGAAACATCGCCAAGCACCTGTGCACAACGCCTTAAGGCAGACATGACGGCTTCTCTCCAGAGCAGTAAATAAATCCCTCTTAACTCATTTAAACTTTGGATCAGGTTCCTGGTTATTACAGAGGTGCCTGGGAAGTCTCGGGACAGCCTGATGCCTCTAGAGGGTCAAGGACCGTGAAGAACACTTTAAATAGACCTTCTTCCTTGATCCACCAGACAACCTATGCGGAAGGCATTTCCATGTGTATTTGATGGATAAATCAGGAGGCTGAGCTCTGAAGGGAGGCCAGCTTTTCCTAGCATCCGGAGGCACGGGTGACAGAGGCATCTTACCTGGGACCCTGACCCCAAAACTGAGGCAGTCCCACATCCCTACAGTTTACAGTTTGGTCCTGAACCTCCTGCCTACTGTGTGACCTCTGGCAGACTGTTAACCCCTGAGCAGAGTGGGAGACAATAGCAGCATTCACTCTGGAAGGGAGAAGACTGAGTCGCAGTAACTCTTTCTAAGTCTTAGGTAAGAGGGGTTGTAAGTTCTAGTTTCCTAGAAATCCTCAAGGGCCAGGATAGGGCCTCACCTCTCCACCTCGTCTCGGGCTACTATGTCACCTTTCTTCAAGGCTTTGATGGCAAAGAGCTCCCCACTAGAGCGGAATTCAGACAGCAGCACCTGTAACACAGTGGGCACAGCCTTAATGGACACCCTGGGCCCTTGGAGGAAGACCTCTGAGCCCATAAGTCCTTCCCCTGCCTCACCTTCCCAAAATGACCCCGGCCCAGCACTGCCAAGAACTTGAAGTCCTCAAGCATCAGGGGTGACTTCCTCAGGGGGCTGTGGAAGAAGGGAGCTAGTGAACTCAGAGTAGGCAAGAATGTGGGGGTGGGGAGGGAGGGGTATCACCTGCACGGGCCATGGCCTGGGGTCTCCTGGGTCTCTGAAGGCAGCTCTGGAGAGGTGGTGGATTCATGGGTTGAAGAACTCTGTGGTGCAGAGGTCATGGTAGCCACAAGTCAGAGTTATCCCTAAGAGCCAACAGGGCCCGAGCTTCTCCCTCCTCTCCTCTCCCCGTGCCGGACCCACACACACCTCCAGGACTAGGGAAGAACCTAGTTCCTACACATGGTTACACATGGTACCCCCGGCACTATTTATTTTCTTTGAGCAGGTTCTCACCAAATTGCCCAAGCTCTCTTGGACTTGTGATCCTTCTGCCTCAGCCTGCTGGATAACGTGGACCCCAGGCTTGCATCACCAGGCCCAGGTCCCTCCTCTGTAACCATTTACTTAAGATTACCTGTGCAGGCATCAGATGACTCCTGACTGAAGAACAGGGCCCCTTGTCCATCTCTGCTCCATTTTCCTCCCAGTATACTTCATATTTACTGGTTTCAGCCTGGACAGACTGATGGACTGATGGACTTGGACTGGGCATAGAATGCAGGACTCACACCTGCATTCCATCCTGGCCTAGCCATGCCACGTGAACATCTGACTGAAAACAATCAGGCCTGGGGCAGCCTTCAAAATGGCTCAGATAAGGGAAGGTGCTTCCTGTACCAAGCCTGGTGTCCTGAGGTAGACCCCAAACCCACATAGTAAAAGGACAGAATCAATTCCTACAAGTTGTCCTCTGACCCCCACACTTGTGAGGTGTTAACACATATGCACCCCCCCAAAAAACAACAAACACATATATTGAAAGAGAAAGAGAATCAGGACCTGAGGGTGCCGCTCATGTGAGACCCCAGGTTCCATCCCCTTTCCCAAAAAGAAAGAGGTGACAAGTAGGTACTATGTCAGGTGCTGGGACACAATCTCAGCACTCAGGAGGCTGAAGCAGCATGATGCAAAAAGAAACAGGAACTGGGCCAACAACGTAACATGGAGGGTAAGGCGCCTGTCCACAAGTCTGACTTGACTTTGAGTCCTGGGCCCCACAAGGTGGAGGGAGAGAACTGAGTTCTGTAAGTTGTTCCCCTGACCTCCATATGAGTGCCCACACATTCACACAAAATAAATAGAAAGATTAAAAACTTTAAAAAGAAGCCAGGCATGGTGGCACACACTTTTAATCCCAGTACTTAGGAGAGAGAAGGCAATTTCTGTGAGTCCAAGGCCAGCCTGATCTCATAGTGAGCTCAAGGACAGCTAGGGCTACACAGAGAAACCTTGTCTTGACAAATCCAAAACAAACAAATAAACAAATAGATGAATCTAAGAGGAAAATAGATAAATGTTGAATGCTGGTGGCCAGCCTATGGATATATAGCCTATCAAAGCCGGAAATGGTTGGAGGGAATGTGGCTGTTTGAAAGAAAATGTCCCCCAAAGGAAGTAGCACTATTAGGAGGCATGGCCTTGTTGAAGTGGGTCACTGTGGGGACGGGCTTTAAGGA